TGAGACAGCTCAGACCCCAAGCACCCAGGAAGCCTCGTGTGACATGGGAAGGTGCCTGTGAGTACGAGGTCCGTAACGGTGAGCAGAAATGTCTCCTGTGGAGGTCGTCGTCAGGCTGTGAGGACACCCGAAAAACAGGCGTCCCCTTGGTCACGGCACACACGGCCTCGCGCCTCCCCATCCCCTACTCGCGGTCGCTGGTGCATCCTGACCCACAGCAGACCACAGACCTGTTTCCTGCAGGCAGGTGCCCCCACACGTACGGGGAGTGGCTCGACTAGTGACCGCAGGGGGCCCTTCCTGGACAGGAGACGCCTCTGCCTGCGGGTGCACCTGGGGACTGGTGTGGGAGCTCGCGTGGGCTGGACACTCACACAATGGCACTGGCTAGTTGGGACCAGCGTTCACCATTTCTTCAGGGTCAGGTGGTGGCCCTGCTGTGGCATAGGCGTGCTCACACGGGAAGGTCCTGGGTTTGCGTCCTGGGACTTCCCTGAACACACTGTACGTGGGAGCCCTTCTCTCTCTCTCTTTCTCAGAAGAAATAAAACGTCTCCAGCCCGTGAGTCCCTCCTGGGTGACTGTCAAACTGCAGTTCTATTCGCACCCGGGCTGTGGTTGTGACTCTCAAGGCTGTCCCCCCCCCACCCCCCCATGCCCTTGTCAGGCGTGCCCACCTGCATGCGTTTCATGCCTTGTGTGTCCCCACCCTGCCCCGCCATGCGGCTTCTTGCTGGTCTGAGTGCCAGCCATGCCCACGCTGTTGACAGACTCTCAAAAGGACTTGCTAAAACACTAGCCTCGGGGCTCCCCTTGGTCCTTGGGATTTATGTCCTGGAATGATTTACCCTGGCCACTAAGGCGTCCCTGAGGACTATCAGGAGAACTCTGCCCTCCTCTGATGACTAAAACCAAGCCCTGAAAGGCAGTTCCTCCCTGACCCGCCCTTCATTGTCTCGCCAGGAAGTCCAGAAGGGGGGAGGGTTTGAGAGGCCCTGGGGTCTAAACACCCATCTCGCCCCCTCTACTGCGGTCCTTGCTGTCCTCGCCCCTCGGTCCACTCGCATGTCCCTCTGCTTGGATCCCTGTGGTCTCTGACGCTCACAACCCTGGCTGGCCATTAAAACGAGGGGAGGCCCAGGCCATGGCACAGCAGGGCGGAGGGTTCCAGAGGATGACGGGCGTCCTGGGGCCTCTCCCAGCAGGCACAGTGGGCTGGCTGAGCGCAGCGTGAAGACCCTGCTGGGGTACGCCTGTGCCTCTCCATCTCCCACTCATGGAAGAAATAAGTAAATAAAAACTAAAAGAAGGCAGTTCCGGTGAATGAATAATAGCTTGAGGAGCTCCCGGGGGAAATGGCCCAGGAGCCGCAGAAAGGGGAGAGTGCAGGAGAGAAGCTGCAGGCAGCCTGCTGGGGGTCTAACTTTAGCCAGGGGCTTCGGGAGGGCACCACCAAGCCTGTAGCTGCAAGATTTGCTTAATGATGAGCAGGCTAAGGAAGCCCCTGTGGTCGGATTATGAAGACTTGGGCAGCCCTGAAAAATCAGACGACTGGAGAAAAGCACTGTAGGTCTTCAGGAAAGGAGGGAAGCCAGAGGGAGGCTGGAGCGATGCTGGCTAGGAGGCTGCTGTGACCCAGAGGGAAGACCCCGAAGGGCTGTCGCTCCTTGCCCACTCCTGCAGGACGTGATCCCAGGGCTGACTGCGGCATGCTCACAGCTGTGTCCCCCACACGCAGGACAGCACGTGGCCTCCTGCAGCTGACCCTAAGCAGGTGTCGGATTAGCAAATAACTGTGGGCCACAGGGGGAAAGTGACAGCGCAGGGGGGTCGGAGAGGGACACTCGCTCGGAGGCGGATCCCCTCTACTGATGCCCTGGTAGCTGTGTCCTTTTGCTTTTTTGTTAAAGTTTATTTCTTCTGTGGGTCAGAGAGACAGAGAGAAAGAGAAGGAGAGAGACAACCGTCAATAGGGTATTTTTAAAAAGTTTATTTATTCTAAAATTTTAGCCATAGGTGCACATGTTTACCAGAGACCAAGAAAGCACCCTGTGGGAGGGCCCGGCCGCAGTCCCTTCTCCAGCTCTCTGCATGTCACCAGGTCACCAGGTCCAGGATTTGAACCACGTGGTCAGTCATTTGAAGCCACCCCGACCACTGCACCGACAGCTGGCCACGACTCCCTTTCAAAACTGACAGGAGACAAGGTTGGGGCCTCCGCAAGCTGCACTCGGGCTCCAGTCCTGTCTCCTCTCACTGCCTGGAACAGGGGTCCACACACCACAGCCTGCAGACCAAAACTGATGCTGTTCCCTACTTTTGTAGGGACTATAAGCAAAAAAATAAGTTTTACATTTGTTTAATAGTGGAAGAAAAGAAAAAGACCGTTTGGAGACACGCGAAGGTAACAGGAAGCGCAGTCTCAGCCCGTGAGCCCGTGCACCGGCGCTATTCCGCGCTGCTTCCCTGACCGAGGTCTGCGGCTGCGGCCACCCTGCGCTGGCCAACGGGGAGCTGGGGCACCTTCCCGCGTGCACTGAGTCTAAGTATGCGCACCTGACTCGCTGCTGCTGCGGCTCGGCCCTCCGAAGACGGCTGCAGGCACGCCACGGCCAGCGACGGGGTCAGCAGGCAGCTAGGGCAGCTGAGGTAAGGGGCCTTGAAGAGCAGCTTCAGTGGAGGCCAGTCGCTCGCCCGCCCTCCTCTGCAGGGGCAGCAGTCCAGCTCCACCTTGGAAGTGGGGTGCAGGCCTCCGAGACCCGGCAGGGACAAACGCTCTGTCCGTGAAGACCCAGTTCCGGGTGTGGCGGCTCCCCGTCCCCACCTGCCCTCATGTCTGAGGGATGACGACGCTGAACAGTAACGGAGACACTCCACAGAGGGCTGAGGCCAACAGGTGCCAAGGGGCTAGGAGCTGGGTCCCACTTGGGCGCACGACTCGAGTCCCAGACCTGGTGGCTTGTAAAACTCGCCAGGCACGTGGGTCTCAAAGGGAGAGGAGGAGGAGGGATTGCCACGTGGCCATCCCCTGATGACCCACTGGGACACCAGCCAAACCACAGTTGAAATGTCAAGAGCGGTGCAGGTCTGTGTGCCAGGCTGTTTGGAAGGGACTGCAAAGACCCCTCCAAAGAAGCTGTGTCTGCGTGCCCACTACGCCTGTCAGGTGGAGGGAGGCTGTCCTCGTGCTCTGGCGACCCCATAGTTAACGGAGGGTGTTACCGAGCGGAACGGAACACAAATCACGCCAAACGCAGCGCAGCATCAGGGCCCTCGGTGAGCACCCAGCCCTGCACCCGCAGTGAGGCGTGTCAGACCCCGCCCTGGAAAGTGGGCACTGCCCTTCTGAGCACAGCTTGCTGCACCCTGAGCAGCCCCCAAAGGCGGCCCCGGAGCAGGACAGGGCTCCAGCCCTCACCCCCGGGGCGAACACCGGGCTCCCTGACCCTGCAGCAGGGTGTGGAAGGGCCGGAGGTCGGGGCCACAGCTCCTGCCTCTGCTGTCCTGGTCAGTGTCTGGTAACAGGAGGGGAGTTTCCTCTCTGCGTCCCCAGCTGCCCATCCAGTCCTCACCCCTTTGGTTTTGGGGCCTCTGACACCCTTCCTGAGCCCATGGCTTCATCCAGTTTTATTGGCGCTATTCTGCCAGAGCTGGCTGCCCTTGTCACCATCACAGCATCACCGAAACGCCTCGGCTTCACTTCCCGAGTGACACATGCAGCCCCCAGCGGGGTCTTGCCTATGCTGCCATCCTCTCCCCTGCAGCCAAGTCGCAGGTGGCCAGGGCACCAGCGGGTCCAGGTGGGCCCAGCCCCTTCCACGTGGCCCAGCGCAGTGGCTCATGGCGCCAGCTCCCAGTTCCAAACTCCTGCCGGCCCCGTCTCAGACTCCTCTCGCTGTCACGTGTTCACTGACCCCCACAGGCACCGCTTGCCTCTGCTCGTTTCCCTAGAAACCCCAGCCTCCGTGCGGGCCTTCCTCAGGCACGGCCAGCCCAGGCTGTTCCCAGCTGACAGCTTCATCTGTTTTCAACGGCATCCAACGTGTGGGGGGCACCTGCTCCTCAGGCAGGTTCTCCGGTCTGCAGGCCCGTGTCCTGCGTGTGCGCGTGGAGGGGATTTCCATGTTCAGACGCTCATGCACAGAGCAGTCCGGAGCCGCAGCTCCGAGCCCAGCCTGGGCCATCGGTGTGCCAGCTTCGCGCTCCCCTCCCAGGCTTCCCGGGCTCCCATTCCCCCTCCTCTGTCACTAATAAGGGTGATTGGATGAGCAAGCCCAGGACCCGCTCTGCAGTCAGTGGTTAAGGCAGCTGATCCCACGGGGTTGGCCACGTGGTTTGAGTCCCAGACCTGGCAGTGTATGTGTGCCTACAATCCAGAGGATGGGGACAGGGACAGGGAGGGACTGCAGCATGGCCCGGACCTGGGCTGCTCTCTCCCTCTCTTCTCTGTCTCTCCGGTGAGTGCACGCACCCTCCAGCGCACACACACACGTGCCTTCCAGCACACACATGTGCCTTGTAGTACACACACACACACACAAACATGTGCCCTCCAGCACACATATACACACATGCCCTCCAGCACACACATACGTGCCCTCCAGCACACACTCATGTCCTCTAGTGCACACACACGTGTCCTCCAGCACACACACATGTGCCTTCCAGCACACGCATGTGCCGTGTGGTACACACACACACAAACACGTGCCCTCCAGCACACACATACGTGCCCTCCAGTACACACTCATGTCCTCTAGGGCACACACACACATGTGTCCTCCAGCACACACATGTGCCCTCCAGCACACACACACATGCACGCCCTCCAGCGCGTGCGCGCACACACACATGCCCTCCAGCACACACACATGTCCCAGAGCCTTGTCGGTGACCAGAGCATGGTGGGCCCGTCACGGCCTCGTACCCCGCCTTCAGAGGACAGAGCCCTTGCGTGAAGTGGAGGGGTTTCTCAAGTGTCTCTTCTCTGTCTGCTCAAGGCCCAGACTACATCAAGGAGCACTTGCCGAGCATTCAGGAGCACACCACCTACGTCGGGGAAGGGCAGCCGTCGCCGGAGAAGACGGGGGACCTCCAGTACCTGTGGAGGCCGGCCTGGCACAGCAGCCAGCCGGCCCGGTACAAACACGAGTTCGTCGGTGGAGTTGGCTGGGGAGTGCGCGCGCTGGACTCCGTCAGCAGGCCGTGGCCGCACAGCGGCTTCCACATCAAGGTAGTCTCCTCGCCGAGGCTCTCCTAGCACTGCGTTCAGACCTGAAGTTGGGTTTGCACCTTAGGAAACCTCGGCTCGCACCCTCCCTGGGAGGCAGAACGTGAACGCGTGACCCCTGTGTCCCTGAGGAGGTGAAGGCGTGGTGGCCCCAGGGCGCCCGCTGGTTAGAAGCAGGCTCCCGCAGTCCGGAATCTGGGACTTGGCGGTGCACAGGAGCGGCCGCTGCGAGGGCACCCCAAGCTGGGGGAGAAGTGGTGTCGCAGCCAGTGCGGACGGCGCCCGGTGGTCGGGGATCGGGGCGGGCAGGCAGAGGCTCTTGGGAACCGTCCTGTCTCCTTTCTGTGTTACGGACTTGGCAGGAGCCCAGTCTCCTCTGAGACAGAAGGACGCACAGTGATGTTAGACGTCAGACCTGAGAGGCCCGCAGCCTGTGGGTGTGGGCGCAGATTCCCCCACGGCTGCCTGTGGTTCGAGTCCAGCCCTGGAGGCTTGAGGGATGCACCGGGCCCCTGCACACCTAGGACCCACAGATGGAGAAGTGGAAGCAAAGGAGTCTTACCCGTGGCACTGCCCTGTGCTCCCTGGGGCACCGGAGGGTACCCCGTTACTGGTAACTGTAGTATTCAACTTTCAGACAGTTCAGTGGTTGTCCTGGAAGAAGGGATCTGAACTCTGGGATTTGACTCAGAGGGCCACACTCGCTGGAGAGAGACAGGGAAAGAAGGACGCATCCCCGACAGGGCCAGGTCTCACCACCCCCTTTGCTTCCAAAATACCACAGCAGTGTGGGCGCAGGTGGGGCTCAGTCTTCGGTCAGACTCCGATTTAGGCCCATTCTGACCACGAGTTCCCTCTCTGGGTCTCTGGTCCCCTCTCCCTCTCCTTGAAGTGGTATTTTGCAGGCCACATCACGGGCACCCACATTCCTGACCTGGTCCTGCTGTCTGCCAGCAGTGCACGGTGTGGTTCATTCCTGAGCTCCGTGCCTCAGTCTCCCACTGTGAAACCTCCACGTCTCCCTGCAGGGCTGCGGGAGCAGGGCCCAGCCCTGGCAGTAAAGCCAGTGGCAACTGAGCAGCCGTGCTGGGAGCATCGGCCGGCTGTGGGGTGCGCCTCCTGGTCCAGCTGAGACACACTGGGTGCACCCTGTGTGTGCCCAAGACCCTGGCAAGCTGGACAGCGGGGTGGGGACCGCGGCACGGCACGGCCCTGCGGAGGGGCCCTCTCATGCCCATGGTCCCTAGTGTGAAAAGAATTACTATCAGCTATCAATGAGCAGCCCCATGAGTGCGAGGAACGGAGGCGGACACAGCTTCGCTTCGTGGGACTAGGTCACGCCCAGCGACCATAATCTTCCTTCCTTAAAGCCAGTGATCTGGGACCTTATTATACCTGCAAACCCCTTCATAGCGACACCTCGATTCGTCTTTGGCTAAGCGTCTGGGAGAAATGGGGTGAGAATCTTGGGGGCTGTCTTGTAAGTCTGCCCGCTACAGGGTTAACAGTGATCCCCGTGCTGTCAGTGGGTTAGGTATACCATACCGTGCGCGTAAAGCGCTGGCTTAGGACCAGTGGGCGAGGCTGGCCGCGGGGTGGGGTCTCGGAGGACTGAAGTCCGTGCGCTCTGCGGGGTCCTGCCTCAGGTTTAGTTACGGTTCTGAGCACACAGGGCTGACACTTTGTCTGTTTGGTGAACTAATTCACATAGTGCAGTTTAAAAAAAAAATGGAAACCCGCTCCCTCTGGTGCTGAAGCCCCCCGCCCCTCACAGGGATAAGATGAGGTATGGGTCTCTGCAGTTTTCCATTTTTGCCTCCTAGCAAGTGAAACGCATCACAAAACCCATGCCTTAACACTGACATTTTCCACAAAGGATTGTCTGGTTTTTTCTCAGGCCCGAATATAAATGAATCCTTCAAATGCCCCATTCATGCAGAGCCTCACGCCCCGCCTGCGCCTGCCTCGTGGACCCAGCCTACAATGGGCTGCATTAAGCCATCTGTCACCAAGCAAGGACAATGGACTGCTCACCAGGTGGGGAGGAAGACACCCAAGGGGTTAACAGTAGTATTTTGCAAATTGAGGCGATGAGGAGAGAATGCATTAGCGTAAAAAAAGGCCCCCTGGGGGATTTCTCCGCACGTTTGGTGTCAGTCTCCTGGTGCCAAGGAGGCCAGAGAGGAAAACCACTGCATTCGCTCTGCCAGTGAGAGGGCCTCCCAGTCACAGAGGTGGACGGAGCCTCGGTCACAGAGGTGGACAGTGGGCTTTGGAGCACAGCAACCCCCAGCACTTCCTCGGGGGTCGCTCCCCGGAGAGAGCGCCGTTGTCCTTGGTACCCAGTCTATGCGGGGGTGGTCTGCGGTTAAAGGCGAAGGGCTCAAGCAATGACTTTCATTTTCAACGAGTCTGAGGCCCAGATGTGTGCACTTAACTAGCTCCAGCTGAACAGCTTTTACTTGGTCAGAAACTAATTCCCAGAGCTGGAGTGCAGCTCCCCTTCTACAAACAGCTACGCCGATCTGAAGATCACCAGTAGGAGATAGCCCAGCCTGGAGCTGGGATTATTTCTGTTGAAAACACTCGAGATAAGGGTGAAAGGTTCTCACTCTTTTTTGTTTTTTAAGACAGAGACTAAACAGATAAGGTGTCCCGCCTCTTGTCCTTTCAAAAGCTTCTCATTACATGTCTTTCATGAGCGACAGAAAGGGAGCCTGGGCAGGGGCTAGTCGGCTGCCCCCGCCAGCTCCCGGTCGGGGGTCCTCGGGTGCCCCTGGCACTGGCAGGCAGCAGGTCCCTCCGGATCCGGACCCAGCCTTCTCTGGGGCTCAGGGACACAGCGCGGCCAGGTTACGTGTTTCCATGGAGATGGCGAATTCACTGGGTGTGGGTTTCCCTTTTCTTTCATTTTTAGAATTCGCCAAAGGATGTGTGCTCTGTCTAAAGAGAAACCGGGGTGGGGTGGGGTGGTGGTGGTGAGAAAGCTCCCACGGGGCGCAATCGTGTCACAATCCCTTCCCTCCGTTTCTCCCTCCTTTTGGAATCTTGGGCATGCATGTGCCTGGCATGTTTCTCAGGCCACAGGGGCCGAGGCGCGAACCACACCAACGGTCACGAGGGTCCAGCGCCTTCACCACCGCTGTGAACTGCCCGCCAGGTCTCCCGGGTCACGGGTACACACAGGTCTATGTGCTCAGGAGGTCTCGGGACACGAACCCAGGACCACCCCCATGTAGGGGCCAGTGCCGTGCTGGCCCGCGCCTACGTGTCCTCACGGCCAGGTCACTGCGTAGTTCTGGGGGCGCCTGGACGCGAGAGGCTGGAAAGTGTTTAGGTCGCTTCAGAGCACGGGTGTGGGTCTGTCCTGTATGTGGGGACTGCTTGAGCCACACGTTCCTGAGTGCTCAGAAGTCCGCGTCCCGGAGCTGCGCTTTCTGCCCTGGCCACAGCCCCGCTCTGCCTCACTCTTGCCACCAGTGTCAACCCTGAAAGGGTGACGGGTGATGGGCAAGGCCTCGGAGTCCACGGGAGGCGCAAGGGCGCGAGGCCCGAGAGCAGGTTCGGGGACGCTGACAGCCAGATAAGCTGGCTCCTGCCTGTCCTGCCTCTGCCGTGTGCTCAGTCCAGGTCCAGGACGCCCCTTCTCCGGCCAGCTCTCCTCCCTCTTCTGCTTGCTTTGCTTTATGCCAGAGGGAGGGAACGGAGGGGGGGGGAAAGAGAGAGAGTAAAGGCACCTCCCTGGGGCTGGCAGGTGGCATGGTGGTTAAGACGCTGGACTCCCACATGGCCGACCACAGTTCGAGTCCCAGACCTGGTGCCTTAACTTTCTCACTTTCTCTCTCTCTCTCCCCTCCTTTTCTCTCTATCTCTATCTCTCTCTATCTCTCTCTATCTCTGGTGAGTGTATGTGCCCTGTAGCAAATTTAAAAAACTAATCATGATAAATAAAATTAAATAAATCACTCTTTTTTAAAAAGAAAGCAAGCACCCACCGATGGGCCCGGTCACACTGCAATCCTTTCCTGCGGTCCTCCGTCCGTCATGCCCGGCCCACGTGCACGCCCGGTGTGCTGTATAAGCCTCGGTGCTGGGCCTCGAGCCCCGGGCGGCGTGTGGGCCCCAGCAACCCCACGGCCCCCTCTCTTAACTGGCGGCAGAGTTTCCCGCCCAGCCCAGCTTCCTGTGGGAGCAGGGATGTAAACCCTGAGCCACGCGGGCGCCGTGTACCTCAGAACTAAGACTGTTCCGTTCTCCCCTCACAGTACGAAGAGCTGAGTCGGTCGGCCATCGAGAAACTCACCCACAGGTATCAAAACCCATGGTAAGCATGTTCGCCGCGTGATCGACTCTCACCCCGAGCTGGTACGTGACCGGGCTAGTTAGTGTACACTTCACGGCATCCTCTTATTTGCATAGGCTTTTTAATGACGATTTCATCCCTAAGGAACACATTTCCGCTGCCTGCTGCTCCTGGCCGAGGCGAGGAGCAGCACGCACAGTGAGAGGACGGACAGGGCGAGGGCGGAGAAGCGAGCCTGTGGCGACCCGAACGGCGGCCAGTGAGCCGCTACCTTTAGCTCCGTAACTGAGTCTCGGGAAGAAACAGTAATACTAATTTTTTGTATTGTTTAAAAAAAACTGATTTCGTCCCGTTGGCCCAGGAACTGTCGTAACAGGTGACCTTGGCTAACAGCCACCATCCTGGAGTCGCACGTGTGGGATTGTGCCATCGGGCAGCTCCTGACCAAACCAAACATACCTGACGCAAGACAGGTGAAACCGCCAGGAAGGAGGTCCAGGTGGCCCAGGCTCCCGAGAGGGAGGGCGCGGCCCTGCTCCTAGGAGACGGCAGGTGGAAGGTCTCGCTTCTCATAGGCTATTTCTCTGTTGTTGTTTAAGGTTTTTGCCATGGGGGCGTGTGCTCATCGAGAGAGGGAGACAGTGAGAGGGAAAGTGAGAAACCACTCCCCAAGGGGGTGGCTATGCCACAATCCTTTCTCCTCCATTCTCCTACCGGGATTTGGGACACACACACGTGTGCCACCAGGTCTGGACTTGAACCATGGTTAGCCATGTGGGAGTCCAGAACTGTATCCACTACGCTGCCTGGCGGCCCCTTGTAGGCTGCTTCTAACTGTTGCAGGACGGCTCAGTATATGCGAAATTTGGGTTTCAGTTTCTCTCTGCTCCCCCATAGCAACGTGAACGCATCAAGCCCCAGTCAAAGGCCGCCCAGGATGGTGACGTCTCAGTGGGCAACTGCCGTCACTCCCTCAGCTCATCCCACGCTGGGGCCACGGGGACCCTTCTCACTCCTTGCACGAAGAGCTCAGGTCCTCCTCGACCTGCTCTGTGCTGCGTTTAGCGAGCCCCAGGCATTGGCCGAGGTTTCCCCATTCCACATTGCTAAGCAGGAAGGCACAGGCCACGGAAGTCAAGGGGCTGCAACGAGCGTGGGCAGGGGGGACTCGCTGCATGCGTTTAAACACGAACGCGTCGTCAGACACGCCCAGAAGCCTCGACGTGCCGAGAGCTTTCCTGGGATGAGAGTGGTGGCTCGACGCCCGGCCGTGACGCGGTTATGCCCTTCACCAAGAGGCACGACGCCGAGAAGGACCTCCCAGCCACCCCAGAGAGAGTGGATTCCTCCGGGAGGTTGGTCAGGACCCACGGGGCGTCCTCTTTCTTCCTCTTTCTTGGTCTGTCTCATGGAAGAAATAAGAAAATACAACTTGGAAAAACAAAAAACAAGACTTCATTGGAAGGTTTAAAATAGGAAGCAACACGATTTGCTGGCTTAGTTCCCCCTGGGGTTTTGGAGGGCCAAGTGGAGGATGGGCTGAGGGTCAGGAACGGCAGTGCGACAGCAGTGAGGAAGTGGCCTCGTCCCCTCGGGCCCACCCTGTGTCCCGTCCGCTGCGCTGTGGGAGCTGCACAGGGCGGCGGGTCCGAGTGAGTTTACAGACAGGGCGACTTCCAGCAAGTGAGGGCCGGCGTGTGCTGAAGGGTCGGGCAGGGCAGCTGGGATCACGGTCGGACGGGGCAGATGTCCCACTGTGCTCATGTGACAGTGGGGACACCGGTTCCGGGGTTAAGGCGATGACAAGGGGCCCAGAGACACCACAGGGGTCTTGGAAAACTTTCTCTCCAAGATGTGCATTACGACAACACTACGCGTGGGTTTCAGAATGTTCTTACACCAAAATAAACTCACTTTCATTCCATTTTCCCACAAATTAAGAAGAAAAAAGTTGATTTTATCCATGAGAGAGCACATATGCAGAGGAGAGCCCTCCATGAGGCCCCGTCACCCTGCAGTCCCCTCTCACACGCCCTCCAGCATCAGGGTCTTTAGCCCCTGTACACGCCTGGCGGGTCTCCATCCCACGGTGGGCCGTGTGGCCTCCAGCAGTGCACGGTTCAAACTCAGGGCCTGCCGGCACGAAGGCCACCTCCCCACGAGCCTCTCGCCTTCCAGTCCACGTCGATGGCATGGAGATCGGCTCGCACATTTTAAAGTGCTCTCCAAGTGATTCTGGCGTGCACAGGGGCTGCCACCGCCGGGAAGACGCAGGGCAGGAGGGCCGAGCCCTGGGGGGGTGCCCGCGTAAGGAGAGAAGGAGCCCTTGGAGCAGGTATGGTGGGGCAGCGGAGGCCGCGAGACCCCGATGTACCTGAGAGGAAGCAGGGAGTCGGGAAACACCGTAGACCGTGCGCGGCGGCCACCGTGGCCTCGCGAGGGCTGCGTGGTGGGCAGCTCACGCTGAGCCTGCACCGCCAGTCCTGGGGAGCACATGACGACTGGCAAGAGGGAGGCAGGAGTCGCTCTGCTTTCACAAGACTTGGCCCGGCAGGGGACAATGATGGGATTTCCTCTGCTTTTAAGATTTTAACTCTCTTAAAACCAGGATGCGTCTCATCGCTGTTGACAGACACGGGCACATGCAGCGCCCGCTCTCCACGTGCAGCCCTGGTGGGCTCAGGGCGCGTGGCCCAGGGTATTGAAGACCAGCAGAGGCTTAGGAAATGGGCCTCTCCCAGCAGCGGCTTGACTTTCAAAACGAGGCTCATGGACTTTCGAGATGGGCCACAGAGCGCCCTGAGGGCGAGGGGCTGCAGCAACTGGGCGTGGCCCACGCGTTTGACAACCTGAACTGGAGGAAACACTCTCGTCAGCGTATCGAGCTTCTGTAGTTGTGACCTGCGGCTCTGTCATTTCGTATGTCTCTGCTGCAGCACGGAGGCTCCACACACGCGCGCACGCAGCACTGAGGCTCCACACACACGCGCACGCAGCATGGCTCTTCGACAAGAGCGGGAGGGGTAGGGAGACAGGAGTGTCCGTGGCCCGCTCAGGAGAGGGTAGGGGACGTGCTGCCCGAGGAAGGTCTGCTCAGTTTGGTTTTTTGTTTCTTTTACTTATTTCTTGGGCGGGAAGAGAGCGCCCCCAGCAGACCCTCGCCACAACCCCCAGCCTCAGCTGCCCAGTCGGAGCACTCCATGTGCCTGGTGTGCTCGGGGAGCCCAGGGCTCGAACCTGGCCCTTTTATTGAGGGTCCAGTTGCAGCGCCGCCGGGCCACCTCCCAGCCCCTCCACTGCTTGAAGAGGCGAGTCGTCCGGACGCTGCACACGTATCTAGAGAGCCGCCCTGTGCCCCAGCCCACGGCCCGCCAGGACTCACTCATTATAGCAAGGTCTTTTATGGTGACTTTAAAAAATCTATTTCTCCTACGAGTAAGAGAGATGGAGGGGAAAAGGCAAGGCGGCCCCCACGGGGTCCTGGCCGTGCCCGGCCTAGACACAGGCACGTATGCTGGCCTCGGAGGTCTCTGGGCTTGAACTGGCCTTCCCAGCAGGACCCCCTCGCAAAGCCTTGTGTGGTGTCGCCACTGTGCCACTGCCCGGCCCCCATGGCCATCCTTGTGCTCGATGGCCCTGAGTCTCCGAGGTCCAGACGAACGTGCCCAGGGAGAGGCCTCTCCAGCTGGGAGTCCACGCATGGTGGCCGGCCCTGTGCGGCGCGGTTAAAGAGGAGCCGAGGCTTCGACCTGGGGCGGCCATGCCCCGGCTCCGCCTACTGAGAAGCGAGGGCCGAGTCCAAGCGAGGAGGACTGGTCAGGTGGTAGATCTGACTTCTCTCCACGGCGTGTGGATCTACCTCAGAGACGGGGGCGGTTATTACTCACCAGGCCTTCTCGGGGGGACACTAACACCGGGTCCTGGGAAGCAGTGATGGGAAGACGGCTCAGAGGGCAGAGCGGGTTCTAGATGGAAGCTCCCGTCAAATGCGGATGGGGACAGGGCACCTGGAGGCCAGTCCTGTGGGGCCTGGGCAGGTGCGTCCTGTGGAGCCCAGGTGTCTCCTGAAGGAGGCAGACTGCTGAGGAAGGGGTGACCTGAGCTCGAGGAACGTCAGGGCTGCGGGCAGCAGGGATGGGCGTCCTTCCCCGGCATTGAGGTCCAGGGGAGGGGGTGACAACTTCCACAGCTGACAGGACATGACCTTTGACCTAGAGGTCTACACTCAGCTACTGATCTAGTGGGAAGGTGAAAAAAGAAAAAGACATTTTCTGGCACTTTTATACTCAAAAAATGTGGCTTATGCATTTTCCTCCGGAAGCAACTGGGGTGTTGCCTGGGGACGAGGTGAAGGAGGGAAGGGAGGGTCCACTCTAGGACAGACAGCAGGGAGGGGACAGGCCACGGATGGGGCTCCCAGGACAGGCGAGGGAGCTGCCAGGAATGCGCCTGGGGCTGGGGACAGCCGGGCAGCAGGAGCTCTGAGCTGTGTGCAGACGCGGCTCCACACCAGGCTGGCGGCTGGACGCGGGGCCTCTGGAAGAGAACCCGGGGCAGGTCGCGAGAGAAGAAAGGGAGTTTGCTGTCGTTTTTAATAAGCATTTGGGCACTGTTTATGCAAGGACTTCACAAAGTTTATGGAAAATAAAATGAGTTTATATTGGTGCATTTCCATGAGCTTTCCGAAGGCCCCGTGGACACGTATTGTCCCTATGTCCTCAGTGACTGTGCTGACAGCGGAGAGGCACTTCAACGGAGCTGTACCGGGAGAGTGGCAGTGCTCAGGTGTGAGGGCCAGGGCTCCGATGCTGCAAACGTTCGACCCAAAGCCAGGACTGCCGGCCCTGCGGAGACGGTCGGACCTGAGCGGGCGTGCCCATGGGTGCGGGGCGTGCTCGGCGGACAGGCTGCCGTTAGTCAGGTGGGCACAGACGGCCGTGTTTTCCACACAGTCCTGCCAGAACCAGTGGTCAGGCGAGCACAGACTTAATGAGTCGCTGTTTACAGTGTTGGTCCATAAATGCGTGCTTTCTTCTTGGCGCTGTTTCCGTCCAACACCCGTGAACCCCTACGGCGTCTATTTTAAGACCGTCAGTGCTGCTGGGCTGGGCTGGAGCGGTTTCCGCTGGCCTTCAGTAGCACCTGCGGCCTTGGGCGTGCTCTGGGGTGGCTGCGGGGGGCCCTCAGGCTGTAGCTGCACCTCCTCCCATCCTTCTCCGCCCCTCGTCCCGGGCGGGGCACAGGGGCCAGCAGAGCCACCGTTGTAGGTGCACAGAGAGCCCCAGTGCACTGGTCCAGCACCTCGTCCGGCCAAGGCCCTCTGAGCCACCCCTCCGCAGAGGGCGTGAGCGTGGGGTGCACAAAGCGGGTGAGGACCCGCTCTGCAGAGCCCCTCTCCGAGGGCGCTGAGCGCACCTTGAGGGCAGAGCCCGCTGCCTGGCCACCAAAGGCCCCTCCGGGACCATGGCACCACGGCGAGACTTGGGCTGCTAGGCAGGCAAGCTAGCAGTCCGCCAGCCCGTTACCATCACACGTCGCTGCCGAGGCTGGAGGAGCCGCGTCCGTGGTTGGTGAGGGGTGGCCGTGCTCCAGGCTGACCCGTCAGGCGTGTGGCGCTCCGGCTCTAGAACAGCACCTTGGAGTCTAGAGCAGCAGGGCTAGCCATGCCCCGGCCCTCGGCCCAGGTCTGCATGTCTGTGGGCTCAAGAACAACCCAGCAGTATTTCCCACTGATGGTCCGACCCACAGGGAACTGTGACAAAGATGTCAAGGGCAGTCATTTGAGTGCACGTCTCAGGAGGGCAGGTACCTGAAAACGGGGGAGCAGTGAAAGGCGTGGTGGGCGCGTCCGTGTGGTTACCGACGGTGGACGCAGCCGGAGGGCACGCGAGCCAGACGGGTGTTCTCGTCGGGTCCACCCAGGCCTCCCAGAGCAGCCCTGGCTGCCCGCGTTCCTGCCGTCTCGACAACCACCGACTGCGTCGCGAAGTTGCCCCACGTTTCCTGCCGAGTTCTCAGAGGCACCTTCCAAGCGTCATTTGGGAGCCCGAGGGTTCCCAGGCCCACGCCTCTAACTTCTCCCAGCCTCTACCCAGCCTCCAGTTCCAAGGCCACTTCCACACTTTCAGGGCGAGTACCAGATTCTTGGGGTGACAGGAAACAGACATTAAGATCAAAGGGCAGGAGCCGGCAGGGTGGTTAAGGGCGCTGGATTCCCACAGGTGGTTTGAGTCCCAGACCCACCGGCTTGTGTTCTCTCTCTCTCATCTCTATCTCTCTCGCTGTCGGGCTCCAAGGGCAGAAGGGGGCTCCCCAGCAGCACAGTAGTAACAAGCTGAGTCCCCTGAAGAGCTGGGGCCCAGACACACACCTGGCGCACACTCCCCGTGACCGGGCCCCAAGGTGGTGGAGGGCGGCGACAGCGTTGCTAGGGTTGTTCTTGACTTCGGAAGGTGGCCGTGCGTGGAGAGGGCCCGTAGGGAGGACAGGTGAAATGTGACCCTGGTGTGGGGGCTGTATGAACAGGTGCGTGTGGTCAGGGGAGGAAGGCCAGTGTGGACAGGGAGGCGCGGCCTGCAGGCAGAGACGCCCTCCAGAAACCAAGCCCACGGTGACCTCTGGCCTCCGGCCCCCTCGCGCACAGCCACCGGTTCCAAGCCCGGTCCCAGCTGAGAGCCGCCGGTCTGCTCCTCTTTCAGGCAGCCGAAGCCTCACATCCTGGACATGCGTGGCAAGCACGGCCGTGGGTCCCTGGCATGGCACATGAGCGACTACGAGGACACATCCCAGAGGAACTGCAAGTGGGCCGTCCTCGTCAGGCAGAGCCAGCTGCCTCCGCCCAGGGCGTCTGGACCGCCAGCGCTGCCCTCGCCGCGCAAGGACCAGGTCTGAGCTCTGCTTCTCTGGGCCGCCATGGGAAAGTCAGGCACTGAGCGCGGGCCCAGGGCATCCAGGGCGTGCCTGGCAGTGGCCCAAGCACCTGCCGGTCTCCCTTCCGCTTGGGCTGGTTTCCCCCGCACGTGCCTCCTCCAGTGGGTGGACCCGCGTGGCTCCCCTGGGCTCCCAGAGCAAGTGCGGGCCATGCGAGGCGGGCAGGTGGGTGATGCCGTCCCCCTGTGCTGGCCAGTCCAGGCTCTCATGTCCCCCATTCGCCATCAAGAAATGGTGGGCAAGCGGCACTCTCCCTCCAGGGCATCTCTCTCTCCCTCTGTGAGAGATAGACCTGGGTGTTTCCAAAGCCCCTGCGGTGTGGCCCTCCTGCGGCACAGCTCCCGCCCAGCACATGCACATACATGTGTGCAAACACATGCACAGACCCAGCTGTATACACGTGTGTGTCCACACATATGTGCATGCAGGCGCATGTGGATGTATACACATGCATGAGTGCGCACACATGCACAGACACATTTTTCTGAACCATCTGAGGTTGCAGACTTGCTGCCCCGTTCTGTATCTGCCACTCTTGGAGATGAAGGCTCTCTGCCTCGGGACTGAGGCTCCATCACCACTGCACACCTGCACACACCCCTGCACACCTACACACCTGTGCACCTATACACCTATACACCTGTGCACTTACACACCCGCACCCCTGCACACACCCCTGCACACACCTACACACCACCTGTGCACCTATAACCTACACACCTGTGCACTTACACACCCACACACCTGCACACACCCCTGCACACCTACACACCTGTGCACCTATACACCTATACACCTGTGCACTTACACACCCGCACCCCTGCACACACCCCTGCACACACCTACACACCACCTGTGCACCTATAACCTACACACCTGTGCACTTACACACCCACACACCTGCACACACCCCTGCACACCTACACACCTGTGCACCTATACACCTATACACCTGTGCACTTACACACCCGCACCCCTGCACACACCCCTGCACACACCTACACACCACCTGTGCACCTATAACCTACACACCTGTGCACTTACACACCCACACACCTGCACACACCCCTGCACACCTACACACCTGTGCACCTATACACCTACTGTGCACTTACACACCTGCACACCTGCACACTCCCCTGCACACCTCTACACACCTGTGCACCTATACACCTACACACCTGTGCACTTACACACATGCACACCCCTACACACCTGCACACCTACAGGGGGTTTCCTCAGGTGGGTGGGACAAGGGATGCGGTCGGTATGAATGGGCGTTCTGGGCAGTGCTCTGCAGGGCTGGGCCCTAAGTGGGCTTCCGTGGCACAGGCAGGTGGACGGGGTCTCTGGGCGGTTTTCACGGTACTAGTGGCTAAGGGCATGGGGTACCCGGGCAGGCCTCTGCGGCATAGCGAGGGCAAGTGAGTGGGGAATCGCTGGGTCACCTGGCTGCTCCGGAGGGGCCAGCAGGTACACGAGGGTGCTCTGGTTGGGCCTCAAGGGAGCTAGTGGGGGGGAGAGCGATCTGGGTGAGCCCCTGTGGTGCTGGTGGGGCCAGCGGGGTGCAGGGACCCTGGGCAGACCTGGGGTTGCCAGCAGGGCGAGCGAGCATGCTGCCAGGCCCGCGGGGTGTGAATGGTGGCCAGCAGCCCAAGGGTGCTTGGGTGGCCTCCATGGATTCCAACAACTTTTGCATAAAAACAAATTCATTAATTACGGTTTCCCAGGAGTCTTTTGAAGTCCTTTCACAAACGTATGTGGGGAGCAAGAGACAGTCTTTAAGGAACTGGCTTGTACCTGGGTCCGCGGTAGGAGGAGGCCGAGGCTTAGAGAGGAGCGATGCAGTGAGTCAGAACAGTGGGAGGCAGGGTCCCCTCCTCCTGGGCGGGTGGGGGGGAGGCTCTGTCTGTCCTTTCTGTCCTCAGCTGACCAGCGGGGCCCTCTCCAGCCATGGGGGTGCTCCAAAGTCTGCTGGCCGCAGGCTCCTCTCAGCTACAGAGCATCTTTACACACCACCCAGACAGTGCTGGGCCGACCGAGGACGGGCCGCCAGCTTACACACAGCCCGTCACGGTGTCTGGCTCACCTGGTGGTGAGCCGGGGGGTGGTAACAGGCACACAGTCCAGGCACCAAGGATCCGGAAGGGAACATGGCAAATACATATGTAAGTCCTATGTCAGGGCATGCTTCAAGAACCACTCAGGGAATATGGAGACCCCTCCAAGTTTTCATTTCATCCGAGAGGACTTTGCAACGTCGGGTGTCAGTTCTCCTGGCTTTGGGGTACCACACGTGAGCAGGCATGATCTGTAAGCCACACGTAATGGGGTCTGTCCTGACACGGGGCGCCCGCGTAGCCATGGCCCCGTCCCTCTCCACAGCACACGTCCTCTGACACCGCTTCACTCTCCTAAGAGACAAGGCCTATTAGGCCTATTCACACACGTGACCCAAGGGCCGTAACATACTTTGTAATACAAGTTCTCCTCCTTTTTACACTTATTTCCTCATTAGTGAGAGAGGCGGAGACAGAGACCTACGCCCAGACGTAGAATGAGTGCCCAACACACCTGGGCAGGACTCCAGGTGTGAGCGTGGAACCGCCCAGTGTGGGCCACCCTGAGCGCCTTCCCAGGGCATCACCTGGGTCCCCGGGACGACAGTTTAGTGTGCACCTGTAAAGTAGTTCGGAAACCAGACGGAGCAGGGGACGCCGCCTCTGTGCAGATAAAGGCTCCCCGTCCTGCCTGGCGCCGGACGCCTACGGGTGCTGGCGCTGTTGCTAACGCAGGCTCCCAAGTTATCGGGTCCTGATAAAGAACTGCGACTGATTTGTTAAAATCTGAAACTCACTAAATTAAGTCTTCCATCAAATTTATACGTCACATTTAAGGAAAATTCGGCATTTACTAAAATAAAGTAAAAACAATAATCGTGCCTTTCTGTAAAGCAGAGTGAAATTCTCAGCTTAACCATACACAGGGCCCTCCCCCAGAGTGTCTGGACAGGTGCGCTGTCTGCTCTGGTGGCTTCACGAAGCCCTGCCCCATATGCCGGCAGCCCTCACCTGCTGTCACGGGACCCAGGTTTCCACATGCACAGACAATAGGGACGAGACCTCTTACTGGGCTAGATATAAAACCACACGTAGCACCAAGACAATGTTCAAGATAAATTCAAAAGGTTTATTGCACCAAATGCCACAGAAAAATGGACAAAAAAAGTATGAACAAGTTCTCAAGAAAAACGTCCCACACATAGACACCGGTACTCAACTGGTCCGAAACAGCAGGCCCTACTGGTTTATCTTAATGGTGCTTCGATAACAAACCCCTGGGTTCCTCCTCGTTCAACACCACACCTTTCAGCACTGTGATCTCATTCTAAAATACACAGTCACGGTACTTTGACATTGAAAAATTAACAAAAGGGGCTGCTTGATTTAGGCAAAAAGCGTATTAAAATATCCTCCCTAAAATACAATGAAAACCGAGAAGCCGAAGTCCTCCTTCCATTTAACGGTCAAAGCACATAACATGGGAAACCCGGACATTGAAAAGAGTTGGGGTCCCTTTATAGTCTTTATGTTTATGTACAACCAACCCTGGTGAGGAACCTAAAAAGCTACAGATTAAATTTTTATAGAACCTCGGGACCTAATCGTAAATTTAGTATCACTAAGGAGTGGGGATATCCCTCCCTCCAAAAAGCGTTAGGACGACGTGGTAAGTTTCAAAGTTGTACCGCGTGAACGGCAGGTCCACGGGATGCGACATAACGAGGACTTTCAGAGAACGGACGGCGGCCCGTACAAAAGCCATTTAACACCGACAAAAATAAACTACTCTGACTGACGCAGAAGCATGGGGCGACTCACGACACGCTCACAGTCACCTTGACATCTGCATCACCTACAACATCGCACACGTAAACTGCAGCACGCAGGGGAGGCCACGCAGGGCGGCCAGCACCGGCTGCCCCGAGCTCGCCCACGGAGGTGGCCAGGCTGCGAGACAAGCCCACAGGGCTGGGGGTGCAGAGACCCTGAGAGGAGAAGCCTGTCACCTGAGGTAGATTGCTTTCTTTTTCAGTTTTAATTTTGCTTGAGGTGGGCACATGGGGTGGGGTCCTTCTCCTGCCCCTTGGGCTGAGACAGGCTGAAGCCATAGGGGGTGCCCGACAAAATCTGGAGGGGTTCTTTCCTCTTCGCCTTTGGGACAAGGCTGCATTTGAGACCAAGAAAATGTTCAGAAGAGGACCTAACCGAACCGACACCCTAGTCTGTCTGCAGATGACAGACACAAAGGTCGGTTCCAGCTGGACTCTGGAGCCCCCCAGGCAGGAAGCCCATCTGGGTTTTCCAACCCTAGATTAGGTGCAAATGAACCTTTCTCAGGTTTGCGGGGGCTGGGCTACATTCTCTATGTCTGGGGTCGAGTGTGTCACCACATGGGTCAGCTGTCAACGTGGTGCTGAGCACACATTGGCCAGAGCTGTCCTCTCTGTCCTCTCTGGGCACCCAGGGAGGTGACCGAGGGAGGGGCACATAGCAGTCAACAAGATGGGAACTGAGCCCAGGAAGTGCCCGGCTGGTGCGGACAGAGGAGCCATGAGTGAGGCCGCGGCTGGCCATCCCACTTGTAAAGCACTCACCCGACGTGGGAGCTGGGCCCAGGCACCTGCTCCCTCCAGAACACCCAGGACAGCATGCAGCCCGGCGGGAAGCAGAACAGCAGCCTCCGGGCTGGTCGCTCCCAGCGCCTGCTGCCCTCCTCGCCCACCCACACCTGTGCTGTGGACTAGGCGGCCCAGGGAGGCCCGGCCGGGACAGCAGGTGCTGCTGACACAGCTCCTGGGCAGGCCAAGGCCATGGGCGGCCCGGGTTTGGTTCCACGCCCATCTTAAAGACCAGGTGCGATGGTGCAGGCATGAGTCTAGGAGGATGGGGTGGAAGGCTCGTGCTATTTAGCAAGACCCTGTGAAAATGTATTAAAAAAAACAGCTGTCTTGGCCTGGTCCTAGAAAACAACACACTTGTTTTTCTCCATCAGTACTGGTGGTCTACTCCTCGGAACCATGGACTTCCACTTGTTACAAACAAACAAACAAACAAACAAATTCAGGCGCTCCTTATGTACTTCCTGTTTCATTAAATAACTGAAGTCCCTCCAGCCCTCAGGAGGTGGTTCCTTCCTGCTAGCCACGGGCGAGGGCAGGAAAGGCGAGGTGGACGCCCAGAGCGGGGAGAGGAAGCCCGCTGGCCGCCAAGCTGCAGCGGGTCCACACAGTGCGAGCGATGTGCTTCAGGAGGTGAACGGCGCTCCCCGATGGCCCACGTCCACAAAATGCCACTACCCTGGATGTCAGACACGGTCTGCTTTGTGGTCAGTAAACGGTTTGGTTTGTACTAACACAACTAAGGTCAGTCTGTCTGAAGTGAGTGGCAGACAGCTCCTGGTCCCGGCAGGTTTCGGAGTGGGACAGCTCACTTCCAGACGATCTGGAAAGCACGCAGGGGTCAGAAGGCACAGCCGATCCCTGTGCAGGGCTATCTGACGTCTGTGGTCGCCCTGGACGGCTGCGGCCTCCAGACCAGGACAGCTGTACCCTTCAGAGCACAGCCACCCGGAGTAAGTAGGGCAGGAGAACATGGCTGTGGCCGGCAAGGTGCACCTACGGAGACGCCCGTGAGCCGGGACCATCCCTTTGCTGAGCCTCTCAGAAGCGGCTAGCGCTCGGAGGAGAGAGGAGATGACGGGTCAGACCGCACACTTGCCACTCTGCCTGCGTCCAGACGGGCATGAGATGCCCCAGTGGTTCTGGGGTTCCGCCCCACAAGCTCTCTGGCCTACTTGTGGCGGCGTCAACTTGGAGACGTGGACAGCGGGTCCCTCAAGCAACCCCCTTCCCAGCGGGAGGTTGACTCTCACGTCCACACCAACCAGCGCCTGCTGAGGCCACTGGAGCCGAGGGTGGCACGAGTCAGCTTTCTGGCCCCACTTCCGGCCCAAGGCAGCCCTGACTGGAGCCCAAGGTCCTCTCCTGACGGCCTCCCAGGGTGGCGGAGTCTGCTTTCTCCAGGGCAGAGCTCAGCTCAGCTCAGAGACAATGTCCCACTGGAATGTCACAGACACAGGTCCCTCCCTCCCAGCCACTGACACTAGCCTGCCCAGCAGCACGAGGCAGCGGCACAGCAGCTTAGTGTCCGGGGCAGCGCCGTCTCCTCTCCCGGGAAGGCCGACTCTGCTGAGTCACAGTCAGGCCCACGGCGCTTGGACAGCCATCACCTGTGAGGTAAGCCTCAGCTTCGAGAGAGCATCTGCTGGATCACGCACCAGGACGACACGCAGCGGGTGACGGCTCCATCTGCCCCTGGTGTGCGCACCGTCCCAAGCACACGCTGTCTGCAGCCGAGCTCCGACGGTCCCCAGGAAGCAGCACCCTGAGCGCCAGCTCACAGGAGGATCTGGGCCACGTGTGGGGAGTGTGTGCTGGCCACTGCAGCCAGCAGAGGGAGGTCGCTAGCTTCGATCCTGCAGTGGGGAGAGAAGGTGAGTGGAGCAGAGCGCTTCCCAGGGACACGGTGTCTGGAAGGCCACCGCTGAAACTAACGAGACGGCCACCTGCATGGGGAGGCCACAGGCGGGGCCTCTCGCCAGCCCTCCTGGGAGCTGCCCATGGGAGGCACGTGGGCACAAAGCTGCCACTGGCCCAGGTGCCCGGAAAGCTCCGTGGCACTTTGCTGTGGTCTCCTGCATTAGCTGGCACCCTCTGGCCACACCTGCATGCACACTGAGGCTGGATCTGGACTCACATCAGTCTCAGGGACAGGGAGATGCAGGTAATCCTTTCAGAAACCTTGAAGTGGATAAACTTAAAAAAGCATTGGGAGAGCCAGCTGGTGGCATAGTGGTTACGGCAGCTGGACCCGACATGGCTGATTACGTGGTTCGAGTCCTGGACCAGAGGCGCACATGTCTGTCTGTGCCCAAAATCCCAAGGAGAAGGGACTGTGGTGTGGCCCTTCCTTTGGGGGGAGACTTCTCTCTCTGTCTCTCGCTGTCTCCCATAACAGCAACACACCCTTGGGGGTTTGCCGGGACACCCATCCCTAAGGACTCACCCCAGCACGATGCCCAGCTCTCTGACGTGGACGCGCGTGTGTCCCCGGAGGTACTCGGACAGCATCTTGCTCTTGAGGTACAGCTCTTGCAGCCTGTCCTCCAGGTGTGCAACACACTGCAAGCCAAGGACACTGCCTGAGCACCCATGTGTGTACAGCCGCTCGCCCTCCCGCGCACGCAGGGAGAGCCCCTCGCCCCCGCTGCGGTGGGCAAGGCAGGTCTCTACAGAACCAGTTTACGGGGTCTGACGCGTAGGAGGATTTTCATATGTACCGTTCTAGAGTTTTTAAAAACACTTTTTAAAGAGCAGAAATCATTTTATAAATGCAATTTCCTACTTTTCAAACACTTCATGATCCTTTTCCATGTTACCAAGAGTTCTCTGCTGAGGGTTTTTTTTATCACAGATCATTCTGGAGAATGTGAAGTCACCATCCTTATGTAAGCCCTGGCAGTGCACGCCGTGGTCACACCGGGTCTTGTGAAGCACTGTGTGGCTGAGTGTCCCCAGAGCGTGGATGCTCTCAGTCCAGCGTGTCTCCACAAGGTCACTTTGAACTTTCCCTTTCAAGAGTGCACTCTAAGGAGGTCTTCAACAGCAGCAGAGAGGCGGCAGGTATTTCAGGACAGCGTCACCCTGGAATCGTGTCACTTCAGCTCTCAGAGAACAGCTACCATCTGTGTCTTTCACCAGAGGCAGGTGCTTCTGCACCCGGCAGGCAGAGCCTGGGCGCCGTCAGACACCTGATGGTGTTGGCTAGGGGACACCGCCACACAGAGCTGTCTTCTAGAGCACCGGCCTGGTAGCTTCAAGGCAAATGGACTAACAGATGCGTTTCAAAGTGCTGACCTTGACCATCTGCGCTCATGGGTGACGCAGGAAAGCCCGGCGTGAGCTGCCAGCTTTTATTTCTGAGTTAAAATTCTAAGTAATTCTAAGTGCCTGGTATCAGGAGGGTGGACCGCGACTGCCGAGGGACTGAGGGTGACAACCCAAGCAAGCAGGACTTCATCGACTGTCGGGGGCCTCCCACGGGCCATCAGTTACTGGCTGAAAAGGTCTCCTGTTACGTCTCAAGTCCCGTGGCCGGAAATTTAGTTCTGAAGGAGAGTGGCGCAACGCAGGAAGGACGGCACTCCCGCTGCAGCGACCCTTCATGTACTGCGCAGTGTCCCTGGCCTGCAATGACCACTACGATGCACGGTGGCAGTTTGAGGACCTCTGTCCACACGGAATGTGCTTTAAACGTGAGAGCCAACCTCTTCAGGCCAGTAAATCTTAAAAAGGCTGTTTTTTTTTGTTTTTTTTTATTTTTTTGGAGAGATTTTCGCTATAGGGCGCGTGCGCTCGCCAGACAGACAGAGAGAGACATAGAAACAGAAAGCGAGAAATCACCCCCCAGGGGGGATGGTCACGCCGCAATCCCTTCTCCTCCCTTCTCC